ATCTCTCTATCTTGGTTTCTTTATCTGTTAAACAGAGATACTAATCGTCCTTACATTCTTCAAAGTCAGTGAGCAGCCCTCCCAAGATGACAGCCCTCCCTGGGTGACAGCAGTGGCCTGTTTCTTTGCAGGCCTCTTCACTGGTCCTGCCCTAGTCCGTCCCTCCAAAGCTGCCTCCATGCGGACCGATGGCCACATTCCAGATGAGCACCGACTGATGACCAGCCTGTTGACCCACGGGCGACTGACCTTCCAAAGGGGCCTTCTAGCATTTTCCTCTCCACTGCATGTGGCTTCAGGTTTCTGCCTGTCCCACCCCAGTCAGATGACCTGTCCCTATGACTGAACAGGGTCTCTAGTGATGACTTCAGTGGCTGAGTCACTCCCCTCTGCTGGGTGCCTCCCTCCCCAGGCTCAGTGAAAGTAAGCGTCCCCTACTGGTAAGAACTTCTGCAAAGGGACCGTGCCCTGGAGAGGAAGTGAAGGGCAGGGAGGCGGGGACATGGTACTTTGCGGAGCAGAGAAGTGACCTGCTGGTGGCTGGCCCTACCTTAGGCCCATGTCCCACAAAATCAAGTCCAGCCCCTCTCCACACGCCCCTACCGCCCACCCCTCACAAAACCCGCTCTGGCCCTTGCTCCTCCTTTCCCAGCTGTGCCTTAGGGTGCAGTCTGGAGGTTCAGAGACTGTGTCCTTACTCCTCCTCTGTCCCGTCTCCATTTCATCAACTCCAGTCTACCTTAATTCACTTCCTAAATCAAGCCCATGCCTGACTCCTCCTTTTTTTTGAGTCAGAATCTCACTCTGTGGCCCAGGCTAGAGTGCGGTGGCACACTCATGGCCACCGCAGCCTCAACCTGCTGGGTTCAGACGATCCTTCCACCCCAGCCTTTCAAGTAGTTGGAACCACAGGCGCATGCCACCATGCCCAGCTAATTTTGTAATTTATTGTAGAGACAAGGTCTCGCCAAGTTGCCTAGGCTGGTCTCGAACCCATGGGCATAGTCAATCCTCTTGCCTCCACCTCCCAAAGTGCTGGGATTACAGGCATGAGCCACCACACCGGCTTGCCCTATTCCTTCTAAACAGTTCACCATTTCACATATCTTCATTCCCTCCTTCTGGCTGCCAGCAACACGGCACCCATGGGTACCTTCTTCACAAAGGTGCCCCATGCCCCTCGAATGCCTTTGATGGCACCCCTCCCATTTCCTACAGGAAAGCTCCCACCCCCATCCCTCGCAGGCAAGGCTACCTTAGTGAACCAGCTGGCCATGGGTTGTTCTTCCCTTTCCTCAGCTCTCACCTTTTCTGGGCCTGAAATTCCCTCCCCCATCACCAAAAGGATTCTATTATCTTTCAACATCCAACTTGAAGGCACCCCCTCTTCCTCTTCACCCAGTTAGCAGGCTGCTCCTGGCACCATTAGGAGAGGGCTGTTAAAATTCTCCTTTGTGTTCAATTAATCCAGCTAGCCTTAGGGGCAGAGGCTGGGGCCACCGCACCTGGCAGAGTTGAGACTTGAGTGCTAGTTGGCATCTTGTCCTTGTTCACCCTGTCCTCCTGCATCAGTAGCTCCCAGAGGCTCCCGGGTCTCCCCCCTCGAGGTTAAGTAAAATAAACGAGGGTAAGTAAAAATAACAACTATTTTATCAGTCCTCTCCAGCTCTCAAAGCCTCTCATGGATCTGATTTTGGCTCATGGGATCCCCAATGCCACCCATGAGAGCCGCATCGTGTTCCCCCTCGAATGGCAGGAAAGCCTAGCCCTGGGCCAGGAGGGGCCTCTTGCTCAAGGCCCACAGGGGGGCAGTGGTGGACATCTGACAGTCTGGGTTTTCTGGCCTCAAATCTTGGTCAGGCCAGAGCTCTGGTTAGAAAAGAGCTGGGCTGTGCCCAGGTGGGCAGGGAAGGGGTCTGCTTTGGTTCTAGTCATCACATTTGGGACTGGTCAGGCACCTATTCTGGGGGCCAAAGGCAGCCTTCAGGGAGGCCCATGAGAGGAGGGACAGGGAGCCCAGACCAGTCTGAAGTGTTGACAAGGGGCTTCTGGGGCGCTGGCAGCTGCGTGGTGAAGCGAGCCCTCCACCCGCACCCTGATGTCCCTACCAGCCCCCTACTGTGAGCACGTGAAGGTGAAGGGGCCGGGAACATCTGCGGCCCAGAACAAGGCCCAGGAGGAGACATTCCTGCATCAGGGTGGCCCAGGGAGGTTCCCATGGCAACAGCCAGCCAGTCCAATGTCTGTCCTTGGGCCCAGCAGAGGAGGCACTCAGAAAGAGCACGTGCCTCTGCCCTCCAGGGTCCAATGCCAGCAGGAGAGGTCACAGGTGATAGGAGGCTGGGCTGGGGGCACTAGGGAAAGGGCGGCTGGAGGCAGGAAGCGGGTGAGGCTGACGAAGAGAGGCAGGGATGGGACAGAGGAACAGTAGATTGGGGCACAATGGGGAAATTGGCTTGGGGTCTGGCCAAAGGAAATCAAACCTTTTCATCTGAGAGTGGAAGGCTCAAGAAGGCCACCCCAACTCCAGTGATGCCCACAAGGACTCCAGAGCTGAGCTCTTAGGAAAGCAGGCCCTTCCCAGGTGAGCTGGGGGAGCTCCCAGAGGGCAGAAAGCCAAGGGCTCACAATGCCAAGTGCTTAAACTGCAGAGCCCAGCCCAGACCCTGAAAGGTCAAACGGGGACGTATGGCAGAGTCCAGTGAATCTACCGACTCACCCACCCCTTCCTGTGCTGGAGCTGTTCCCAAGCTCTGTGGGAAGCAGGGCGTGTTGTCCCTTGATTCCCCATCCACACGTGGGCACTGTGGTCCAGAGGGCCATCCTAGGATGGGGACTGGGGCTCCTCCCTCTTCCTGAGTGTTGCTGCGGAGACGGGTGTGTGGAGAGGGGGCCCCTGCACTGTGGTGAGCCTGAAGATCCCCTCCTGAGGCACCTCAGTGTCACTGGTATCCAGCCCCCTCAACAAGCCCGGTGGGCTAATAGCTCTCTTTTTCTCCTTGATTCAGCAGTTTCAGAAAACTCCAGCTCAGCATAGCTACTTCCTGAGTGGGTAAAAAGAGGGGGCTTGGGGGAACCTCCCAGTCTCCCTGAGGGCTCGTTATGCAAATGAAGGAAAGGGGCCCTAGAAATGAAACGGAGAAGCCCCGGGGGTAAGAGCCAACACCCTCTGGGGACCCAGGCAGGCCAGACTGCAACCCCTTCCCAGGTCCACCCCTGCCCCAGGACACTGCATCCTACCTTAGCCCGAATAAGTTTCCCAGTCATCTGTTCAGGCAACAAGAACTGTGAGCACCTGCAGGTGAGTGATGTGTACAGGGTAAAACCAGGTCCCCTCATGAGGCACAGTGGGCTGCAGAGCCTGGGTACCAAACGTCCCTGGACCAAATGTACTTGCTCCTCCTAACTGACCTTCTGCCTGAGAGGAAATTCTCCCTTAGGTGTAACCGCACTCCCTCCTGTTGCAGAAAGCAGACTTCTGTGTTCCCAGTGCCTCCATTTCTCTCACACAATAGACTATAAATGTTTGCCGAGTGAGTGGTCCTTAATCCCCAGTCTGCCCCACCTCACCCCAACCCTGAATTAAATGAGCTAATACACTTAAGCCCTTAAGTAGTGTTACATAAGCACTTGCTAAATAATACAGAAATCAGTTGCAGTCCCCTTCTAGAGCCTTAACTGACAGCCCTCCTCTGATCTGGCCTGAGCAGCCACATGTTATTCGGCCCCCTGCCCTCTTCCCAGGAGAGTCAAGAAGCTAAAGAGAATGAGGTTAGATCTCAGGAAGGACTTCCTAACGAGTATCAAGGGGACTCTGGGTCTTCTTGGAAGAGCTGGCCAGTGGAGCAGCTGGGGTGGGGTCTGAGATTTTGGGGCTGTTTGAGCAGTGGAAGAGGGAAGGTCAGGAGCAAATGTGGAGCCAGGGTGCCACCTAGTGGTCCCCTCACCTCTCCAACCCCAGAAGCCTGGCTGGGGGAGGGGTCTTTTTCCTCTCCACACCATGCCCTAAAGAAGGCAACAACCCTTGAGTGCCCCAAACAGGAGAGGCATCTTTCTGAGACTGCTTTATTTCATCTCTTCCCCAGCCCTTCAAACCCTTTCTTATGGATGAGAAACCCAAGGTTTCCAGAGATTAACTTGCCGCTGATCATTCAGCCTGGATTGGAGCCTGAGGCCCAGGCGTGGATCCAAAACCTACACTCCCTGTCTCGTCTCCCAAGGGGGCAGCCAAGGCAGCTGTGAGCAAAAGGTGGACGCTCCAGCCCAGGGTTTGTTTGGGAGGGCAAGGCAGTGAGAAAAAGGCACACAGGAGAAGGCAGCAAGCTCCAGTGCCCAGGACGGCACCCATCCGTCCATGCAGGCAGTGGGTGCGGTGTGTCCCGGATGCTTAAAACCACCCAGTGTCACAGCTCCAGCCATACTTTATTGGGATCTGAGTCTACCGTTCACACAGGGAGGTGAGGCCACGTGAGAAGCTGGGGGGAAGGGGACTTCACCCACTGGGGAAAGCTTCTTCCAAACCTAACAAAACCCCAGGGGGAGTCCTTGTGCTGGGCCTCCAGCCAGCAGCTGCTCCAGTCAAGTGGAGAGGCGCTGGTCAGCATGTGGGGCCGAGGGGCCGCTCTGGGACACACGCAGGAGGATGAAAGCTCTTTGGCTTCAGGATCAGAACACTGTCCCCTCTAACAAGCAGGCTCCTACCCCATTCCCCCCTTCACATTGACAAAGCAGTCAGGCCACCGGAGGCCACGTCCCAGGGCCCTGAGCATTTGCATATATTTGCATAGACTGCAAGGCACGTCCGGCTAAGGCCTTTTTCTAGCAAACATGGCGTCAGTGCAGGGCCAGCTGATTTGCTCTACTCTGTGAAGGATACCCAAGGACAACAAACAAGCCAGGAGAGAGGCCAGAGTAATGCTGAGCCCGGCCTCCAGGGGTTAGATAACACCAGGATCTTGGGCTGGACCCAGGCCAAGGCCATTCCCCCATGGGCAAGGGCCTCAGCCTCTGTGGTGGTGGTGGTGGTGGTGGTGGTGGTGATGGTGGCGGCTGTGTTCTTCCCTGGGCCCCACAGCTCGGGGGCTCTGCAAGTGCTTATCCTTCTTCCCTGACCTGCAGGGAGACATGGAGTAGGAGGAGGAAGAGGCCATCAGGGGACAACATTTGTGATGACGAGAGGTTCCCCGAGGAGAGGGGCCCAGTTCCTCCTAACGAGGCTGACTCAGGCAGCCTCCAACACGCTCATGGGGGAAAGCCTGACCTCCCAAGCCAAAGGCTCCATTTGGGAAGGCAGGAGGGGGGATGTTGCTTAGGCTCTGGGTGAGGCAGGTGTAGGCAGGGCAACTGGGGAGAAAAATTCCCCAAGCCCAAGAGGGGACTCCTCAGGGCCACTCTAGGGTGAGCACAGGCAGCTTCCTGCCCTCAAAGGAAGACAGGAAGTGTACCCAAATGCCTTCTCCAAGGGACGTCAGCTGGGGACCAAAAGTGAAGATGAGTCTTCACAAACTAAAGACTCAGGGTCCTTCCTCCTCCATATCCTCCAGCTGCTGCCGCCTCTGCCCCACCAGCCCCAAGTCCCCTGCAGCTACCCACCTCTTCTTCAATGCTTTGTCTCCCAAGAAGTGGCTGAAGATGAAGTCCTCAAAATCATCCACCTCATCATCATCACCTGTCTCTCTCACAGCCACCTCCTCCAGGCTGTCCTCCAAGGCATCCACAAAATCCCGGAAGCGGAGGCGGTCATGGCGGAAGATGCCATCCTCGCCAAAGTAAGCAGGCAAGAGGGGTAGCTCCTTGGTCAGCTGCCCAGCCCAGGGCAGCCGTGCCAGGTACGTTCTCAGCAGAGAGGCCAGCTCCTGCTGCTGCACTGGGGCCAGCTCTGTGCCGAAGAAAGCCAGGCCCTCCTGCCGGGCGCACTCGTGCACACCTGAGCAGCCCTGGGGTGCCCGGTACTTGTGCCTCAGCAGCTCTGCCCAGGGCGGCAGGGGGTCATGGCTATCTCTGGTCTCCTCTCTCCACCGAGGATGCTTCTGTCTTTCTCCGGAGGGGTGGGAATTCTCACTTTTCCTGGAAGGCTCCTTGGGGTCCTTTCTCTTGCCCTCCTTCTTGCTCCCCCACTCCTCCCCCCTTGGCTTGCCTTCCTTCCACCTCCCTTCCAGCTCCCTATCCTCCTCAACCCCCCAGCTCTTCTTCCTTTTCTGGCCAGACTCTTCCTTCTTATGCTTCCAGTGCTCAGCCTTCCGGTCCCTCTGCCCATCTTGACACTTTTCTTTCCCACTCCACTCCCTAGAATTCTGGAAGCGGGCCTTCTGGCGCCAGGCCTCTGAAGCATTGGCAGAGACCCCAGGGTCCTGGCCCCCGGTCTCCAGGCCCTGCAGCTTCTGAGCCAGTCTGTGGCCCAGCTCAGCCAGGCCTGCACGAGCCGGGTCCCCCCGGCCAGCATCCCGCAAGCTCCTCTCCAGGTCCTGCTGCACAGACCCCAGCAGCTGCCGCTGCTTCTGCAGCTCGTGCCTTAATGCCTGGGCCTCGGCCTCCAATTGCTCCTTCTGCTCTAGGAAGCCAAGCTCTGGCTCCTGGCCCCTAAGTCCTTGCTCCTTGGTAGCCCTGTCATTCTGGGGGCCTCTGCCCCAGTTGAGGCACACCCCGTCTGGGCCCCTGATGCAGCCGGCCTCTAGCCCCTGCAGCCGGGCCCGCAGCTGCTGCAGCTCTGACTCCAGAGCCCGCTGGGAGGCCTCACCCTGCTGCAGAGCCACCCGGAGCTGGGCATTCTCTTCCTCTAGCCCTCTGGGCTGGTGTATCAGGCTCTGAAGCTCTTCCTTCTGGGTCTGGAACATGGTTGGGGTAGAGGAAACCCAAGGAGTCCTCGTCAGGATGGGTCCAATGCCTTCTACCCCAATTCTATTCCATCATGGTGAGTAGTTAGCCTGAGACCCTTTTTTATGGCTTGGAAGGCCAGAGGATGTGGTTTTCACCCTCCACCCCATCCCCATTCTGAACCAGACCCAGGAATCCCCAAATTCCATCCTGGGCCTCAGCACCTATGTCCTTGGATTGGTAACACTTCTTAGAGTTACCTAAGGACAGCCAATATGTGGCCCTCACGGCCCGATTCCTACCTCCCATACCTGGAACAGACATTGTCAATGGAGCACAGCACTTGGCATGAGCCTTGGCATGTGTTTCAAATCCCCCAATGCTCCAGGGAGACCATACCAATCAATCAGAGGTAACAAGCCATGTGAAATAGGTATGCCAGCCCTGGCCTAAACCTTAGCATAAGGAATATGACAGAGAACCAGGAGATGCCCTGATGATAGCGGGAGAGGGTAAAGGTGTATGGATGAATCACGGAAACTCCTTTTAGGGTCAGATACTAGGACAGACACCTGGCTGTGCCCACCTGCAGCTGGGCCTGCAGCAACCGAATGTCCTGGTTCTCCTTGGCCAGCTTGTCCAGCAGAAGACCCATATTCTGCAGACTGGGGACACTGTCAGGGGGCACTGAGGCCTGTGGCTGTTCCTTTAGCCCATCCTGAGGGCAGAAAAGCCTGTTACCCCAGGCTGCCCCACAGCCCGGGCAGCCCAGGCTCTCCTCAAGCATATCCCACATGCCTCTGAAGACATCATACACACCTGCCCATCCCCCACAGCATCCAGCAACTCAGTGTCCGACCCAGTATCCGGGAAGACCTGTAGCTCTACCTCATCCGTGGGCCCTGTGGGAGAGTGAAGTCCTGAAACTAGCCCCAAGGTGCCCAGAGCCCACTCACCCCACCCAGCCACAGCCTCCCCTCCTGAGGGGACCAGCATGGTAAGGATCAAGGGTCACCCTGAACAGCTGACAAGGCCAATAACCAAGAAATAAATGTGCAACCCCAGCTGGGCGTGGTGGCTCACGCCTGTAATCGCAGCACTTTGGAAGGTGAAGGTGAGAGGATTGCCTGAGCTCAGAGGTTCAAGATCAGCCTGGGCAGCTTGGCAAGACCTCATCTCTACAATAAATTAAAAATAAATTAGCTGGTCATGGTGGCACATGCGTATTGTCCACCTACTTGGAAAGCTAAGGTGGAAGGATTGCCTGAGCCCAGTCAGGTTGAGACTGCGAGGGCCGTGAGAGTGTGTGACATACTCCAGCCTGAACAACAAAGTGAGACTCCAACTCAAAAAAAAAAAAAAAAAAAGTACAACCACAGCACCCCAACTCCTGACCCAGAGAGTACACGCACACAACAGACAAGCACAAGCCAGGACCTCTCCCTACTCACCAGTCTCAGACTCTGAGAGGCCACCTGAGGATGGAGACAGAGGAGTCTGGTGAGGTCTTCAGGGGACTGGGTGGACTGAGGTGAGGTGAAACATGGCAGGAGGGCAGGGCCAGAATGGAAGCTCAAGGCTCCAGCAAGGGAGGCGCCACTCACCTGAGAAGAGGAGGATGCCCAAGCCCAACAGAACCAGGGCCCCGAGGAGGCACATGTTGAGAGAGAGGCCCAGTTCCCCGCCTGCACCGTCGCCCCTCGTCTGGTCCTCCACAACTAGGGGTGCCACGGGCTGAGGGGGGCTGGGCTCCCGGCCCCATCGTCTCCGCAGCCCCTCCACGTCCACATCTGTGTCATCCTCACTGCTGGAGCAGCGGCCTTCCTCCGTGATCCAGGCTGGGGGAAGGTATGGGGACAGGGCTGTGAGCTGACTGGAAAGCTGGGACAGGGAAAGAAGGGGAGTGGAGGAAGACACACGGAGGCCCCAGCCCTGACCCAGAGAGGGGCACGTGAAGGCCCTGCCCACTTCTGCCTAGGCACCAGTGACTGTCCCTGCTCAGAATGGAGGCAGACCAGTCCTTTCAACCTACAGACTCTAAGCGCCACTGTTATCCCATGCTGCCCCACAGCCCGGGCGGCCCAGGCTCTCCCCAGGCGCACCCCACACGCCTCTGAAGACATCACACACTCCTGCCCATCCCCCATCATCTTCTTCTAGTGTGGGCCCCGCATCCAGCTTTTACAGCTGTCACCACCCTCCTGAGTCCCCTTGCAACTCTCTGGCCACCCCCTCTCGGTCTCCCTCCCTGGCTCTTCCCTGGTCCTGAAGGTGGTAGTCTCCCTGGCACCATTTTGGGTCCCCTGCTCTTCTCACTGTACACACAGTCACAACTACCTCACCCACAGCATTGAGCCTCCACCCCTGCGGCACACAAGCCTCTAATCTGTAACTCCTGACCTGGCATCCTGGAGCTCCAGGCCTGCTCAAGTGAAGCTGCCACTGGCTACTCCCCTCTGGGTGTTCCTCAGGGAATAAACATTCAACACACTGTTCTGCAAACTGGCTCTTCTCCGGTGCTCCCCCAATCCAGGGAAGGGCCCTGCTGCTGTCCTGTGGCTAACCTGAACCCTCTACCTCACACCCAGACTACCTGACAGTGCTGTACTTACACATCTGGACAGCCCACCCCTCTTCACAACCTGCACTGATGACGCAACCCTAGTTCAGGCCCGTGTCATCTTCACCTGGCCACTGCAGAGCTGCTTCTTAAGTGGCCCCCAGGCCCTCTGCCCTGTCACTCTTCAACAGGGACAAACTCCTACCTCCTCTGCCATGAGCCTCAGACAGAGCTTCCTTAGCCCGGGATAGGTGGGCCCTGCTGATGCTGCGGCTTTGGCCTTCCTCCTGGCCTACCTACCAAGAAAGCCCACTCTCTGCTCAAGCCTCCCTTCAAGTGTCACCTCTAACTGTCCCTGTCTCTCTTGCTCTCAGCCTATCCCCAACTGAACGACTTTCCCCTTCTATGGGAGTACTTTCATCACATGGCTGCACCTCTCATGGGTCTGACACACATCTTAGCTCAGTCTGGTCTGCCTCCTACACAGGCCATGAACCACTCACCTTCCCTCCTCCCAGGCACTGAGCCGGTACAAGGAAGGGAAATGAGGGTTGCATTTCAGAAACAAGAAAAGAGGAGACCCATGGCAGAGAGGAAAAAGTCAGCCAGGCGTGGGCCCTGCCACTCACCAGCCGTGCGACTTTGATCAAATCACTTAACCTCTCTGAGCCTCATTATCCTCAGGGGTGGTGGTGAGGAAGAAGGGCACCAAGTTGCTAAGTCCTGGGGCCTGAACCAAAGCAGGTATTCAGCAGTGATAGCTGATCCCTCTTCCACACCTTTTAGAAGGAGTGTGACAGAAGGTGACAAGGACCTGGACCCCTACCTGCTTTGGGAGATGAAGGCAGGTTCTGTGGCGGGCTCTGGTCCTCCAAGTCTGGTGTGTCTGGTCCTAGGCCTGTCACCACAGAGGTCTCCTGCAAGTCTCCCTGGACCACTAAGTCTCCAGGAGGCTCCACAGCACAGCCATCACCTTCTTGAGAGCCCTGACGTGGACACAGAGGTAAGCAGCTCTGCCCCCACCCTCCAGTTCCCCTCTTCCCTGGTGAAGTTCCTCACCTTGACCTCAGTCTCCTCTGGCAGAATGGGACCAGACTGGGGGCCTTTGGTCTGGGACAGGGTACCTGTGGTGGGAGAAAAGGCCCAGGAAGAACCACTGACCTCACCTGAACTTCCCAGTCCTCTGGCTCCCACAAGCCTCTTCCAGGTAGGAAGAGGCAGGAAAAAGCCAGGATGGAATGAGGGAAGGAGTTCGTAAATGGAATTGAATGGAAGAAATGCAACTAATCAGCCTCGCTTTCCCCCAAGAAGATGGGAAAACCCCAGAATATGAAGGAAGGCTCCTCCCTACCTTCATCAGGACTGTTACCTTCTCCATCCAAGGCCCCAGCTGATTCTTCACCGGTTGCCTTGCAGGGGCTTCCAGGGGCCTGCAGGGCTGTCTCAGACTCTGGTTCCATCCTGGACTCAGGGCCCAGGGTCTCCACAGGCAGACTCTGGGGACAGGAGGGCAAGCAGAACAATTGCCCAGGAAGAGCAGCAGGACACAACAAGGAGGACGGGGCCGCTGGGTCCCTAGGACCAGCTGCACTACTCAAGGACCCCAACCCAAATTTCAAAAAACATGCTACACTTGACCAGGCACCATGGCTCTCACCCATAACCCCAGCACTTTGGGAGGCCAAGTCACTTTGGGAGAATCACTTGAGGCCAGGAGTTCAAGGCCAGCCTGGGCAGCACATTGAGACCCCATCTCTACAAAAAAAAAATTTTTTTTTTTTAGTTGGATTCTCACTCTGTTGCCCAGACTGGAGTGCAGTGGCCGCTCCCGGCCACCGCAGCCTCGACCTGCTGGGCTCCGGCGATCCTTCCGCCTCAGCCCTCCGAGTAGCCGGAATTATAGGCGCGCGCTACCACGCCCGGCTAATTTTTTGATTTTATTGTAGAGATGAGGTCTCGCCTGCACAGGCGGGTCTCGAACCCGCAGCCTCAGGCAATCCACTCACCTCAGCCTCCCAAAGGCACGGGATTACAGGCTGAGCCCCCGAGCCTGGCTCAAAAAATTTTTTTAAATTAGCCGGGCATGGTAGCACATGCCTGTAGTTCCAGCTACTCAGGAAGCTGAGGCTGGAGGATCACTTGAGCCCAGGAGGTTAAGCTGCTGTAAGCTATGATAGTGTTACTACACTCCAGCCCGGGCAAATAGAGTGATACCCTGTCTCCACACACACAGCAGTAAGCTGATTCAAAAAGTGTCTCAGGTCAGCATCAGGTTAGGTCACTCCCCAACCTCACTCACTGCTACGAGGAACTTTTAGAGACCAGGTTTCTACTAACCAGAGATGCATTACTGTATCAAGGCACCAGATACGGTACAAACCTGGCACACCTACCCCCATCCTGGGAAGGCAAGCTAGAGCCTAGGTCTCCCTGCCCCCAAGATGATCAGTACTTTCCTCCCTACAAATAAACAACCCAGTCATTGCTTAGGGGGTGGGAGGAAGGCAGAAGAAAGTCCCCTGGGTGCCCAAGAGTCAGAGTCACACTCCCTAGGGGCATCTGCGCTGACAGTTGGCCAACCACTTATATCTTCCAAGCCTTTCTGGCCTTTCCCACTGGCCCCTGACACTCCCTACACCCGTCTCCCAGCAGCTGCTTGCAGAAGTCCAACCCACCCCAGCCTCAGACAGCCTGTCTCCTGGGGTGCTCCCAGCCTGGCCATCCAGCCCTGGCCACACAGCCCTGGCCACACCTCTCCTCCCTCTGCACCTTCCCCTTTAGCAGGCCCATGGCCCGCCACCCACCTACGGCTCTTTACTATCCCTTCAAGAATAAGTTTTAGGCCTGGTGCAGTGGGCTCATACCTATAATCCCAGCACTTTGAGAGGCCAAGGCAGGAGGACTGCTTGAGCCTAGGGGTTTGAGACCAGCTTAGACAACGTAACGAGACCTTGTTTCTACAAAAAAAGAAAAATCTTAAAAATAATCTGGGTGTGCATGTTGATGCACACCTATAGTCTTAGCTACTCAGGAAGCTGAGGTGGAAGGATCTCGCTCTGTTGCCCACTCAGTGGCTTCAGGAGCATGGGAGCCCATTGGGTTCCTGCTCCCCCACCTACTGCTGAACTCACGCTCACGGCTACCGCAACCTGGACCTGCTGGACTCAGGCGATCCTTCTGCTTCAGCCTTCCAAGTAGCTGGAACCACAGGCGTGCACACTACCACGCCCAGCTAATTTTTTGATTTATTGTAGAGACGAGGTCTCACCAAGTTCCCAGACTGGTCTAGAACCACTGGACTCAGACAATCCTGAGTGCTGGGATTACAGGTGTGAGCCACCGCCCCTGGCTAACCCCTATTTTACAGGGGAAGACACAGAGGTGAAATTGCCCAGGGTCCCCTAACTGTCAGCAAAGATGCCCCAGTGGGAGGCCAGGGCTCTGAGAGCTTGATACCTGTCTGCTCCAACCTGCCTCCCCTCTGCCTGCGAGCCCCAGTCCACATATGCTCCAGTGTCTTCCTGAGGTCAGCTCCTCACTCCCACCTGGGCCCAAGGGTGCCTCAAACTCAGCAAGCTTCTCCCTTCCTCCCCTCCAAGGGGATCCAAGATTCCAAGTCACTGGGGCTCAGAGCTCTCAGGATCCCTTTGACACGTTTTTGCCACCCTCTCTCCAGCCACTCAGTCCCTTCTCAGTGGCTTCAGGAGCATGGGAGCCCATTGGGTTCCTGCTCCCCCACCTACTGCTGAACTGCAGCGGGGGCCTTCAAAATATTCTCTGTTGTTTCTACCCAGCACACAGAGTGGCTTTGCCCTCTGCCAAGGCAATGACTACCCTGACACCCTCCAACTCATTGCCCTTTATGGGCTGCCCATCAGGATGGGGCCTGAGCGCCTCAGCCAGGCCCTTCCCATCTCCCCCAGGGCTTCCCAGACTCTGCCCCCTACCTTACTCCAACACTGGCTCTGACTCACGTCTCCACATCACCCTGGGCTCCTTACAATCTCCCCCAGCATGGCTTTCTCACTGTCACCTCAGGACCTTTGCTCACACTGGTCTCCCACCAGAATTCCCTCCCTACTGCTCTCAGCTTACCAACTGGTACCCTTCCTCCATGGCATGGTCTGGCCGAACACCTGACTCTGGGGCCTGATTTCTTTCTCTCTGTTCCTGGAGTCTAACAGCCAGCAAGAGGTGATGCAGGTGACAGTCAGGACCGTGGAAGGGGACACACCCAGCCAGCAGCCTAGTCCTGCAGAAGCCCCCTTCCACATGGTTCCCAGGCCCGCTCTTCCTACCTCTGAGCCGGCAAGCACCCAGCTATTATCCGAATCTGGGCAGGAGGCCATAGTTGCTGAGATCCCTGAGGCTGCTGTGGCTGCCACCTGCAGAGAAACGCTCTCTTAAGGATGGGAGTTCCTTTCAGGAGAAGTAGGATACAGAAAGCAGCCTTGGTGGGCCTCCAAGTTCAAGTGCTGGGCAGAGCCTCCAGAACCCTGCCTGGATCCAGTTCTTCTCTCCCCACACCTCAGCTCTTCTAAGCATCATTTGCCTTGCAAATCAGAACCTATCAATGGCCACAGAGAAGCCGGCCTCTTCCAGGGATCAACAGAGCCTTGGGAAACTGAACTGACTTTGAGAGGTCAAGGAAGCCTAGGGCTGGAAGGCTCTGGGAAATGTCCAGTCCAACCCTCTGACATTATAGTCAGGGGAGATGAAGCCCACAAAGGCTGCCGCCTCCCCAGGGCCTGGAATGACACTCAACGGCCTCCTTCAGCCCTAGTCTCCCGCCACCTGCGCACCATAAGTCCTCTGTATGGTCTAGTTCAGGAATTCTCAACCGAGACCTCATCTTGGAATCACTTGAGATTTGCATTCAGTTAGGCGAGAGGTAGGCCCAGACAGGGTCTCTCTGAAAACCTCTTAAGATGATTATCTTGTGCAGCCTGGGTTAAGAACCACTGGCATCGCTTAGAACGACCTGGATGCATCTTTAGTAAAGCTCCTTGTCACTCTCTCTCTCCATCCTAAATTCTGTTTCCCTTCTTCGTAATCTCCAGACTTTGGTCCTAGGGAAGTTCAAGGTGACTGGGAAAAGAGGTTTTATGGCAACTCTCATGTATAAATCATTTTACAACTTGAAGAGAATAAAAAATCAGGGTCATGCTCCTGCCTCCTGTGAATCTGCTGGGACCTGGCATGGAGGGGAATAGGGCCTCCAGTGACTGACACAGAGCAGGGTAAGAAGAGGGGGACCCATCCCTTCATCCAAGGCCAATATTGTCGCTTCGGGCTGGGGCAGCTGCACTGGGACCAGGCATAAAAGTGGAGTGGCAGCTGAGCTGACCCTGAGTCCTGGGTTGTGATGCTTCAGAGGAGGACATATGACTGCTTCCCTAGGGGAGGATGACTCCACGGACACTCGGGAGAAGGGAAGCAAGGCTGGGACTGTACTGCAGTTCCACCTCTGAAACCAAACACGCCTCCCTTCTGTCTGAGCTGATTTCATGTCCCACATGGTACCCTGACAACCTTTTGTGGCTCTTGCCAGTCAAGACCCAAGCTCAGGACAGGTCTTCCCCAATGCCACGCCTCCCAGACACACACCCCATCTCACATAGAGACAGGAGAATAGCTGCAATGACCTCCAAGTTCAAGAGGACACCCTGGCATGCTCCTTCAGGCACCCATAGGGCCGCTGCTGTTCAGACTTCTGCTCTCAGCCCCTCCCCCACCATTCTGTCATCCTCTCCCCATCCCCAGTTGCTGTGTGTGCCTGTTAACAGGTGGTGGCAGGAAGGAAGTGGCAGCAGCTTGGGCTGAAGTCCCTGTTTATCCCTGGCTGTGTACAGCCTGCTCAGGTCTTCCAGAACCAGGCACCATGGTAACCAGGGTGATGTCAGACCCACTGTCTCCATGGAAACTAGCAAAGGTATTTGGGTCAACTAAACAGACACTTCTGAGACCCAAACAGAAGATGGTCTGGAACCCTGACATTCAGGGTCCCAAAGCTGATGCCACTCTCAGCTAGGCTCACCCGAGATTCCAAAAGATACCCGGGTTCTCCTAAGCCAGCATTTCACTGCCTTATAAGGAAGTTCCTTTTACTGTCTAATCTCCACCCTTCCCTGCTGTTTTCAGATCTTTTTCTTCTCATCGACCTCCCAGAAGAGAACCCACCTCCACCCCC